AGGTGAATGTGCTTTTACACTTGGTTGTTCACCGGAATGTTCGCAAGCCAGGCGTATGACGGGATGAAGGCTCTCTAGTAGCCTGTCAGGCTGAGTAATCACTAGATCCCGTCTCCGTTGGCTGGTTGTGGCCAATCTGTAACGAACTGGACTTCATCGGGATCAGTCGTGATGCCCTGGCTGCTAGTGATGTTGCCGAGGTATCCAGTTTCTGTTTAAAGAAGTTTGCATTTCCTTGGATTAAGCGTCACCCCGGTGTCTGGCTAATTCATCATAACCTCTGACAAATTGTCAAGGCGTTCTAGAACGGTAGTCCTCAAACGACTGTTTCGTCCAAGTACACCAGGCACGTAGATGGGCATAGGTTGGACAGTATTTTCTGCATAAGGCGTTTGCAAGTCGCTGCCGCTTTAGCCAAACCCATGAGTAAATAAATAAGTTAATTTTATATTTAAGGCCCAAGGGGCCCCTTCATTACAAACTTAGTGCTGTGGTGAAAGAAGTACAAAACTGATAATCACAACTGTGCGTAAGCAACTGTATAATAACGGGACTGAGCAGTATGTTTTGAGTTAGCCAACACAACTCACCTGCGTGGCCATCCTTACAAGGTCACAAACGAACACACTCCACTGGACCCCAGAAAGTTCTTCAGCAAAATAGTGGTACGACCTTGGAACTTGCTACCAAGCGAGACGGTTTCCGCTGACACCATTGCTGAGTTTAAAGGAAGACTTGATGCCATTTTATTTGACAAAAGGTGACTATCACAACACGATTTCTTATTGCCAGAACTGATAACCATTTTCTTAGCTCTAGGTTACCTTTATACTGTTTCATACTGTTCCCCGACAACTCATTCGAATGCGTGCCATGCTACCACATCTTGCTACAAAGTCATATTGACTGTAACAGTAATATGGTTTACTTTACAGTAATAGGGTCCTGAAGGGTATTCCTTACATGTAACGCTTCAACTATAAATATATACATCATAAGTCAGATCTGCTTTTTTGAAAATCGGTAATGTAGAAAACAACCTAATTTCGAGTGGAAGATTGTTCCAAATGAAGGCATATTTGGAAGCAAATGATGAGAACGGTGAGATGTGGTGCTAAGGAGTGGTGAAATTGTCATAGAGCAGTTATGACTGGCATAAAGTCGGTTTACCGGAATGAGAGCGTTAAGTTGTGGGAGCTTAGGGTTATTTATAATACGAAACAGGAAGCATGCACCGGCTTCGAGACTTCTTACCCGCAGATATTTAATGTTCCCTAACTGACAGCCATCCGTATAAGAAATGCTAGACACAGGAAGTGAAAATAGTTTACGAGGGAAGACTTTAAGTCACTCACTTCCAGTCACTTTAATGGGAGAAGCAGGCTTCAGCCCTTGAGCTCCCTATTCATATCCAAATATTGCAAAAGAGTTGAAACTTATAAACAGTAAATCAATTTGAAGCAGTCCAAAACAGCAGAATTTATTCATGCAAACATATTTTGTTGTTCAATTGTTTCGTTGTTCATACACAGATGACGCAGTTGATAATCTCTCTCGAACTATGTTTGCACAAATAAACTCTGCTGTTTTGGCTTGCTTCAAATTTATACCTGGGGAAAAAATGCTTTAAATAGCACATAATACAAATGTAGGCTCAACATCAGTGATAAGTGTGAGCCTGTTGTAAACTGGTGCTACTAACACTACGTTAATTATATCTGTCACACTCTCTCACTAAATGAGAATCAAGCTTTCATTTAAAAATGTCAACAGTATCTGAGAGAACTTCCTCGTCAGGGAGTCTGCTGCATGCTCCGAAAACACTATGTGAGATGGCCTCTCACCGAACGTCCATATGGGCCGGCTTCCTTTGCTGATTAAAGGGATGACCCCGCCGATGATCCGTCCGAACGAATTCGAATAATTC